CGCTGGGTTACGGTTGGACTTGATGATCTCAAAGGTCTTTTCCAACCTAAACGATTCTATGATTCCATTCCACTCTGCTCTGTGCGAACTGTAATGATGCCTCGTTACCGCCCATTAGTCATTAACAGCCCGATGGTGCGGCTGTCCCAGTCAGGGCCTCCTCTGCCTTTGCTGGTGACCTACCAGCTGTTGGCATAACAAAAATGTGAATGTTAATAAAATGTCCTCCCCCCTCTACTTCCTGTCATCTTCCTGGAAGTGAACTGCAGACGCTGCCGTCGGCGCACTCTGCACAGCCTCTGGGTTTGTTTCCCTTCAAGATCACAATTATTTTTACCAAAACCAACATCTTTTTCTTTGCAGCAGAATGCGTTGTTTTGCTGCATCCAGGCACTGACTTTGCAAGTTACTTTTAACCCCTGTGGCAGCGAGGGCTTGTGTCCTGTCCTGAAACGCTGCAGTAACGTGATTAAGGTGCTGTCCTTAGATTTCTTTTCTTTTTTTTCTTTTCTGTCAAGAGGTCCCTGGTGTTCAGGAACTGGAAATCATAAGGCACATCAGGGTAGGAAAGATCGACATCAGCCAGATAAAGACTGAGGCTCAGATGAATTGTACGCCATTTCCTACACTTTACGGAGATAACTAAAACTGAAACTGCAGCCCTGGGTGTCCTGGAGGGTCGTGCCTCATCCCTGTCTCGGGTCTGCCCTGCCTCCCGCTCCCGGCAGGAATTCTCCGTCCTCCCAAGGCAGCCTGTGTCAGTGCAGCTACCGCTGGTCTTCCCCGCTGTGGATACCTTTTCCTTTCCGAGCGCAGCTCCGCAATCCCCATCTAAACTTCTGCCTGATTTTCAGGCTGTTCTTTGGCACAGAATACAGGCGATTTCCTGGGTGATGCCAAAAAAAAAAAAAAAAGCAGGGTTCTCGGGAGTTCATTTCCATGTGAAACTTCAGGATTGGAGATGACCTGAAATGCTCGGGTGGGATGGTTGGTCATGGTGAACTTTCCCTCCGTTCTGAGGTCAATCCTGCTCGCTGCTGCTGTCGCTAAGATCAGCTGAGAAAGGTCTGCTTTGGATTCCTGGAACTGAATTGTCTGGGATTGGCAGCAGGGGTTTGTCAGCAGTGATCTGCCCTTGACAGATTGCCAGGGCTGAAGCCTGGCTGCCCGCAAGACGTCAGGACAAAGAGGGTGATTTAGTGTTCTGTTTCCAGTCCTGCCTGGGCTCCTGGCAGTTTGGGTACTCTTTGATCGATGCACCCACTAGAGATTTATGTTGTGTGATTTGTGGTGTCACAACGCACTGCGAAGTTTTCTGTGTAGAGAACTCATGTAACAGCTTTAATGCTATTTGTTGACCCCGGTGTCATGCAACGTATTAATTTCGATACTGAGAATCATCTTGCAGTTTCAGCGTAACAGTCACAAGTAGCAAGGCTATAATAGCCTCATGACACAGGCTTGCGAAGCAGAACTAGGACGACCTGCCTAACCAGGATCTCCTCCGTTTGTGCTCTTCCATGGGAGCTGAGGTTAGCAAGGTACCTCTTTTCCGTTGGAGTCAGGAAGCTGAAGATGAAAGATCCTGTATTTGGAGGTCAAGTCATTGCGTTAGATTTGAATGTAGAAGGTGGAGAGGCTGTTGAGTTTGCTTATCGCCAGCATGAGTGTGTCTTGTCTGTCTCACCACCGTCAGCCGGTGAAGGTGGAGTGTGTTAGGGCTGGGACTGCACGAGTCTTGGAGCTCCTAGCGTGATAGATTGTAAGCTGCTCTTTTTGTCTTGTACTACTGTCGGAGCATTTCACTGATGCGGCAAAACCTCTATTCTTCTCAAGCAATGTGTTAGTCTCCAGATTTCAGAAGAGCTAATGCTCCCCCACATTAGCTACATAAGGTGGGGATGTGCCTGGAGCGTCAAATCATGTGAAAAACGTGATGGGAGGCTGCATGTGGGGCCGGCCGGCGTTCCAGCAGGGTCTCCAAGCACGGGATCCCACCAGCAGGCAGGCGTGTTCCTGCTGCTGCCAGGCACCGCTGCCTCTCCCGTGTAGCAGATCTGTGGACAGTCAGCGGGTCGGGTTCCTGGGGTCCCATGCAGCAGGGAGGCTGCTGTGCCACGCTGGCAGCCTCAGAGCAGGAGGCACCGTGGCTGGGAAGCAGCGGTCAGATGAGAGAGCCTTACACATGTCTGCTAAAGAGGATCTGCAAGCTGCCGTGGATGTCAGGAGCAGCCTGGCCACAGCGGCAGGGACTCCAGCGAGCTCGTGTGCCTTGCTGAGAAGCCTTGGTGTGTGCGTAGGGGGTTTTGGACCTCACAGCTGTGTCATTGCCAAGCCGTACCTCTTCATACCCTTCGCAGGCACAACTATGTTGGCAGCATCTGAAGATGAGATAATCCCCTTATTCTTTCCTCTTGTAGACTTCCACAATGGACGAGACCTCAGACGAGCCTCCCACTTCTGCCGTCCTCTTAGACAGCTGCCACTTCTCCCAGGTCATCTTTAACAACGTGGAGAAGTTTTATGTTCCCGGAGGAGACGTAACCTGTTATTATACCCTCACAGAGTACATCGTGCCTCGCAGGAAGGACTGGGTGGGCATCTTCCGTGTAAGTGAATACTGTAAAACCAGATATGCCAAGTGTGAGAAGGCAGCAGCAGGCAGAAACAAATAGCTTGGGCTTTGATGGAATAGGGTTGGGGAGTTTTTTTCAGTAATAACCTTGTGTAATGGAAGATCTTTATTGTGCCTAGGGACAAAGTGCCAGACCTGTTGTGACCTGAACAGCTTCGAGGCTAATCAAACACTCTGATTATCCCTTCATGCATAGACCACAACTCTTAGAAGTCAGGATATCAATGCAAAAGTCCTCCCAGTAACTGATCTATGTGGAAATACAGCCCCATTACCATAGGATAAACACGAACTGTGCGATGCCACGTAACAATTTTGCTGTTGCAGGTGGGATGGAAAACAACCTTGGAATATTACACATTCATGTGGGCTCCTGTGCCCAGTGATGCCCACACTGTGCAGCAGCAGATCCAGTTCAAAGGTGAGTCGGGAGCGTGGGTCACACACAGGCACACTTTGCTGCCACCAGTAAGCACTGTATTCGGAATTACAGAATATCTGTAGGACCATGCTTTGGGAGACTTATTTCAAATCCCATAATAAATCACAAAATTTCGAATCAGCTAAATGCCGCCATCCTGACTGAGTGATATTGTTTGTGTTCTTATCACTGACACGAAGAATTACTGATGGTGCAGGAAGAATATTGAACTAGGATGTCTCAGTTTTCTGAGGTTCTCACTTTCTGCGCTATATAGCTAAGAGACTTGAATAATTAGAAGCTGCATATGACGGAGCTGTTGTGTTTGTCTGAAGCTTACTACCTACCGAAAGATGATGAATACTACCAGTTCTGCTACGTCGACCAGGATGGTATGGTCCGGGGAGCCAGTGTGCCTTTCCAGTTCAGAGCAGAGACTGAGGATGATATCCTGGTGGTTGTCACACAGGTCGGTGTCCTCTCTTCTCCTGCTTTTTTCTGCCTCTGCTTTTATTGGCATATGCTCATTGCTAACATGGAGCGATCCGGTGAATCGAATGCCAAGCTAGAACTCAGCAGACTTGGATCCTATTCTTGGCTTTGCTACCGATCTGTCACATAAATTTGGGCAGCCTTTGTTTCTCTACCTGCCGTTTATCGGACCAGTTTACTTAGATTGTGAGCTCTTTGCAATGGGGGGCGACTTCATACGTAGCGTTTCAGGGCCTTTTGAATATTTTTAAATGAAAATGTCATTTTCATGGAAACAGTCTCCCATTAGATGGGAGTAGGCGCATGCACATGGACAATAATTGAGGTGCTGTGAAGCCAAGCTCTTATTTTGCAGTGTCCTGTGTGCAGCCCTTTTGTTAATGACTACACTGCACACATGGTCCTAACCCAACAAACTGCAAAAAGCCCCAAACCTCTGCCTCTGCGGACTTCTGTGGACACGGAAGGCATTGAGCATCAACAAAGATCCGGGGTAGTGTGTGCTCAGTATTCAAGAACTGGGTCAGCTTTGGACAGACTGGGGAGAGCGAAGCAGCAGTCTGGTCTGCGCCAGCAGCGAAGGCACGGGGAGGTGCACGGTGTTCCCTTTTGCAGAGCTGCTCTTCCTTTGCTCTTCCCGCTGTGCTATTTGGAATGTAGCTTTTCAGTGCTTCTGTTATGGCTGAATAACTTTGCTGCTTGCTAGGGAGAAGTGGAAGAGATTGAACTACAAAACAAAAACTTGTGTAAAGAAAATGAGGAGCTGAAAGCAAGCTGTGCAAGTCTCCAGAAACAAAACATCGATCTGCAGGAAGAGCTGAGCAAGACACAGGTAAACAAAAAAGTTAATATAATAAGTCAGCAGCTTTAAGTCTGAAAGATGAAGCGCGACTAAGTCAGGTCTTGTTCCACTGTATGCTTCCAGGAGAAAATGAAAGAGGTTTCTCCCCATATTATTTGTTTAATGCTTTACCAAATCATCCACCACCTCTGCTGTGGTAAGAACAACAATGATGAACAAGAGGCATCAGCAGACACAGAAGTCAGGAACACATGGGAAGGGGAGTGTTCAAAAATGTTTTGTAGGCTTTCCCAAAATCGCATTATCATTATCTTTTCCTCCTTCAGTTTTGCTCAAGGCTTGATATAAATTAAATGGGCTCTGAAAGAATGGTCGGGATGCAAAGGAGAGATTTCCCTCCTTCAGATGGGCTGCCTGGAAAGGCTGCATTTGAGGGATTTTGCAGTGCCAGTGCAGAGCAGGACTGTTATTGCTTGGGTCCCATTTACCTCCTATCGACCTCACTGATTTTCAGGAGCTGCAGAATAGTTTGGAGTCTCTAAGGAGCAACACAGAGAAACTGGAGCTGGAGCTGAGTTCCCTGAAAAAGGAAAATAAACATCTAAAGGAGCGGGACAACTGCAGAGAGGCAGAACTGCACCAGTAAGTGTATTTACAGCATATCTTAAAATAGGATTTCATGTAAGCATCTTGCCTTTATGGATTAGATTTCCCTCCGTGAAAGTACAGTGTGTTTTGATTTGTTCCGAGTAGACTCAAAGAGCAAATTGAGAATGTGACCTCTGACAAGGAACAACTGGAAACCAGACTGAAAACAGCCCTGGATCACATGGACCAGCTGCAGGTAGCAAACGTGTAGCTGCCCTCTTCTGCTTTGCCTTGCCTCTGACAGAGAACTGAGCATCTTGAGCAAGTATGTGGTGCATGAGTTTCTTTTTGGATTATGTGGGTTCTTTAGGAAAATGTCAACCTTTGATATGATTTGACCTCCAGGAAACCTCAGGAAATCTGTGTTATGGAAGGAAGGGTGGAGGGGGATGTGCTAAGAGAACCTGTAAGGACTTTATTCCCTCAAAACATCCCCTTTGCATGCTCCTTAAGTTGCCCAAAATCAGACTGTTGTTTAACTCCTGCTAGCTAAAGATCCAGGCAGAAAACACTTTTGTTTTGAAAAACATTCTAAAATTATGTTCAATACGTGGGTGCAAACAAGACTTCTCGCTGGGAGGTATGTGAAGGGAGAAGGTAGACTGAAAATACCTTGGTGGTTAGGTCCGGGACATGGGAGATCCAGAACGATGGGCTGACCATCTGGCTATAGAGTCTCTGTTTTTCTCTTTGTTCTCTGACTTCCCAGACTACAAGTGTCATGTTGAAACTTAGAAAGCTCCTCAGAGAACATATGAATGAGTACTGTGTTCTGATGAATACATCAGCTCCCATATATCCCCATGTAACTATTCTCAGTTTCTACCAATGTTTTAATAGACAAATGTTTGCAGAAAAGAAAAAATTAAGCAGCCACGGGTTCTGGAGCTTTGCCTTCTGCAGCAAAAGGTGCAGCTCTCCTCACTCAGAGCTGTTCAATTTTCACTTTCTGCGCATCCTTCTTTCTTCCTAGTCCCAAGTGTTGAATTATGAGAAAGAAGTGGAAAACCTGTCTCTCATGGACCATGACAAGACAAAGCAGCTTGAAAGGTTAAAGGAAGAGAATCGCCAGTTATGCCTGAGCAGAGCTCAAGAGGTAAAGCCTTCCCTGAGTATCACGGTGCTTGGGGGAGCCAGGGCAGAGAGGCTGAGGCATCCTTGGCAGTGAGCAGGTACAAATACTGCTCAATCTTATGAGAATCTAGGGGATTCCACGGCAGAAAATGTCCATGGTGGCGTGGGTGCCCACATAGGTGGTTCTGTGAACACACCACCTGACAGATTCCTATAGTATACATATATTCTTATAGTATACACGTGTTTTAGTTTTGGAAGAAACACCTGTATAACTAGACATTGTCATTCTGATTCTCCATAGCAGGAAAATTCAGTCTCTCTCTTGATCTCTTTTGAGTCAGCTCAAGGGATAAAGTAAATCAGTGGGAATTCAGGATTGATGTTTGGCTGATTGCAAATCGTTGCATTTAAGCAAAATTCTTTCAGGACTGGGACTTATGGGTGAATAAAACACATTACCCTAAATCTGCCCAGGTTACACGCTGTTAATTTTACCTCCAACAGGAAGCTGACTAGTAATTGGTGTGAGGCAGCAACCTTGCTGGTCTTCTCTCTGTTGATGTTTTTGTCTCTTTCTCATCTTTAATATCTCAAATTTAGCATCTAATAAGCAATAAAATAGATGCAATATGCTCCAAATGCACCAAAACCAATACAAAGTTTCTGTTCTGTAGTTTGGTGCTCTGCCCCGCATCCTTCTCTGACACCCCTTTGCAACTCCACTCGTGAAAATCTGGGACTTCTGTGCAGAAGGAGCAAAATAAGGAGCTTGAACATTGCATGGGATACTTGAAGGGGACGGAGGGCAAACTCTCACTTTGTCTGTCCCGCTGTCTGCAGAACGAGCAGGTGCCCAGCATCGCTGAGGTGCAGCTGGGGAGGTTCCCAGCAGCACCGCGCACAGAGCTCTGCCGTATCGTGTGGAACCTGGGCAGGGGAGCTGAGTCCCTGGCAGCACTGGCTTCCACCTTCTTTCAGTTCACAGAACCATCACAATTTCCCTGTGATGTTACAGATGACTATAGGTATAAGAAGTTTAAGTTTATGGATAAAAGGCTTGCTTTTCTTCAGTAACTTCTGCAGACCTTTTAGAGGTAATCCACAAACCTCAGCACTGGAAATCGCTCCTTGAAGGAACGTGAAGGATATAAAAGAAAAGGGCAGCACGCGGTGGCATTTCTTTCTGCTGAAGAAAGCATCATTGGCAATGACTGAGGCCGTCACATCATCTTTAGCCTGTTGCCCTGAGTGACCTTCTAAAGGTGCTTCTCTCTCTGTATGTGCTACTCAGGAAGCTTTTGGAGGCTCTGCTCTGACTTTGGCCTTGAAAATTAGATGCCTAAAATAGATGATGTGATTACCTCCGCTGTGATGCCAAATGTTCAGGGTTCTTAGAGTGATACTTTGAGAAGGACTGCAGAATCCCTAAGTACTCTAGTTTATCTAATTTAGTGATTTAATTCAAGAGTCAGCTACAAGATTAATTCCTAAGGATGTGCTGGCTATCCACCGTCCATGCAAGTCTCGCAGCACCAGGAAACCTGGCAGATTTGGATAGCTCTCCCCTGCCAGGGTGGATTTTTCAGCTGTATGAGTTCCTTTGCTTCAGCCTCCCTCTTTGTTTGACCTGTCATATGTCCCCTTCGGGGGTCATGTGTCATCTCGCATGTTGTAATGAAAATACAGAGCGTGAGTGGTGACATGGAGATATCCTAGGTGACAAACTATGAAATGGTAAGACTCCCATTGAAAGGGAAGGTTTATTTGTTGGTAATAAATGCAGCAGGAGGCAGCTAGTATATGACAGCTCCAGTGCTTGGAGCTGTCGTCGTTTTATTTGCCAGTTTCTCACGATTTACCAAGTAACCCTCTTCCTTCATAGCAACAAAACCGCACGTTGATGAAAGAACTTGAGGAGCAGAAGCATTTGTTTCAGATTCTGCAGGCGGAAAAGGATGAAGCTGATAAGGAAAATCAGGTGAGAACTTGGCACAACTCCCTCGCCTTTCTCCTGTATTGAGTATGACACCAGTCTCTCAGTCTAGGGTTCAGTTCCATTAACCCTTCCACCAAACGGATCACTAATTGTGCCTGCACGTGGACCATCACCGAAAGCCAGGCTGCCAGGCCGTCTGCGGGCGCGTACAAATGACTCTGTGCCTGCACTCACAGTATGTTGTTGCTGCCACGACTGTACAGCCTAAGAGAAAGGGTCCAAACACTTGCACCTTTCCCCTCCTCCCCACAGAACAGACTGGTTTACTCATAATAGCTTGGGGATTTTCAAAAACTCCTAATGTTAGCTTAATTCTGACACCACTGAAATGAATGGACTTACTCGTTTAAACGGACATAGCCTTTTTGCCCAGTCTAAGCAATGACTGCTCACTTTTGTTCCTTACTCTGCATGACTTCAGAACTTCTGTCTTTTAAAGTGTATTACTCTGCTGTGATCATCGTCTGCCTTTCTGAGCAGGCCACAGAATAGATCCTTGCCCTTCCTTACCTCACTTGCAGGACTAACACTGAGCTACCTAAGAGAAGTTCAGAGCAATTTTGATTCTGGTATAAGAGGCTCTATGTTAGTGCAAAGCGTGACTTTCTCTGAAATGGTCTCCTGAGCTGCTGGAAATTCATTCCACCCTTCTGTCCCTTTGCAGAAACTCAGGGAAGAGAATTACAGGCTCCTGAGGCATCGCTTGCAGACTAGAGAGCTTTCTTCCTTCTCTGCTGTTTCACAAGCTCAAGCTCCAATTCCAGCTCCTGGAGTAGGAGGCCTTCTGTTTGGAAATCCATATTGTGGTGAGACTACTTGGCATTCTGTCTTACACCGCAGATACCTGGCAGTTAGAGTCCTGGCAAATTATCCTCCCTCTCAGATTGAACACTGCAGAAAAGACGTTATTAGCAGCACCTCTGCACAGCTTCGCATGTGTGCAGATGACTTGGCAGCTGCAAAATGATGCCAGGTGTTAAGAGTTGACTTAAGTGATCAGCTGTCTGTTCATTTTCTGCCAAGAGAGACAACTATTAGCTAGTTTATTCAGCTGTGAGGCAGCTAGTTCTGTGGCTTATGTCCAGTTTCCATAGTCCTAAATATAGAGGTTTAGATCCAGAGCCACATCGTCATGTTTCAAGAATTACCAGTTATCAGCACATTACATTGTTAATCATTTTGTTGTGGCTAAAATGACTTCTTTTTCCCAGTTGCAGAAGCAAACGTGGGGGCAGGAGCTGCAGACGCAGTAAGGTAAAGTGGACATGAATGGACATGAGTTAGTGGTTTATGGACACAAATTAGTGGTTTGAAATAAAAAGCTCCTAGTTCAGCTCTGTAGCCAATTGTCTCCATACTGGTTTAGTCCTGGCAAGATAGCGGACAACCAAATGGAGCCACATATGCTTAATGTGTAGAATTAATACCAGTTGTTGGTGTTAAGGAAGGGAAAGGAAACTGTTGACCTTAATCTTTAAGGACCAGCTCTTGGCAGCATCTAATGTCAGAACGAGCAGTATGCAGCTGCTAAATACCTTATTTCATACTGGAGACATGGACGTGTGCTACCTAGGATGGAAAGTTAGAGTGCCTCACAGAAGCTCTCGACTTGTAAGTGCTATTTAGAGAAGCCTGGAGACACTGGAAAACTTGAGAGTATCAAAAGTCAGAAAAACTTGTCCAAAAGTGATAATATCTGACTACTAAACTTTTCTGCTTCCTTGAATATAATTTCTAAACTGACTTTATTTGCATTTGCTTTGTACTTCAGGATTCTGTAAGGAAATGTCCCATGTGCAATGAAGTGTTTCCTGAAGATATTGAAGCAAGTCAGTACGAGGCCCACGTGCAGAGCCATCTTGTGGACTGCCCACTCTGCAGTGAGACCTTTGAAAAGTCCAATACGCAGGTGTTTGACGACCATATTTTTTGTCATTGCCTGGAATAATTCTGAATTCGTATCTGCTCTGTAGAATAGGCAGCAGAGGCCGCAGTATAGAATAGACCCAAATCACTGTATAGGCTGGATTCATGCTAATAAGATCACCCCGACAAGACTGACTATGCCACTGGTACTGTAATTCGGAGCTTTCTGTTCCGTGCAGCACATGCCCAACACAGAAATCGGGTCAGACATCTGCATCCTGAAACCGAATCACCGTCATCAAACTTAAGTCCTCTGTCTTGGATCAAGTATGTATGCTTGTTAAATGAGTTACAAATCCTATAATTAGTAATTTAGTTGAATGTGGTACCAGTTCTTTAGAACAGGATTGGCCATGTAGCTGTTCATCCAGGTAGGGATTCGACTGATGGGATGTAGTACAGCAGTTTTCTGTACTTCGCCGATGTATCTCAATTATAGTTGTTTTATTCTTTAATATAGCACTGTGATTGCTAACCAAAGACCAGAAACATTTTATAGTCTTTTAGGATCACCCCTTCAGTCCCGCTCAGCTTCTGGAATGCAGAATTAATTATTAATAATTAAAAAAGTCTCCATAAAAATACATCTCTTCTTTCACCATCAGTCATAAAGCAAGTGAAAGAGACCTATTTATACAGAGACCAAATATGTTTGCAGATCTGAAGGTCTAGGGCCGTCCTTCCAGCAAAGCAGGCAGCACGGCTTGTTCTAGGGTGAGGCACATGCACTGTTTTCTCCATCCATCTCATGATGAGGAAAACCTGAAATTTCTGAAACGGGGAAGGTTGGTACGGCGTGGAGCCTGTAGAAAAGCAGTAGCTGAGTTGTTTTGGCAGCACAGAGGATAAATGGTCTCTCAGTCAGAAACTGAGGATCCTCATTTAAAGGAAATCATTAATTTGGATTATTTCTTTTATGTTTCTAAACCTTCTTGCTTTAACAAGAGCCTGTTTGCAAACCAAAACAACGTGATTCAAGACTAAGTGCCTTGGGATATTACAGTGCTTTGTGCACAGATTATCCAGCTACTATTTTTAATTCTGCTGCAGGATTTTCAATTTATGATTAACAGCTCTTTTTTCCATGCAGACACAAATGGGTAAAGGTTTATTATCCAGCTATTAGACTG